AAGGCCACTCCATGTAGTTATTGTTAAAGCATAGACAAAACCAGTATTGATGTATTGATAATGTGTTTGAATCCAAGTAGCATGTATTGTCAAAGTGTGTCCGGTAAAGGGTTTTGAACTCAGTTTAAAGATGTGACCAGCTTTGAAGGTTTACATCTTATCCAGGAAATTTCTGGATCCTTTAAACCATAGTGCCTAACACTGTAGCAGAATTCAAGTCAGTCTTCTTACTCATAAATACAATTTAAGTATCAGTGCTTAAGAACTGAATGCTATGTTCCTTCTACCAGAGTCCAATACTTTCTGACCTGGTTCTTTTAGGTGTCCCACATGAGAAGTATTTAATATTTAATACCAAATATATTGTAGCATGTATGATGTTACTTAAGATTTTGCATTAGCAAAGTGATGCAACAATATACTGAAATCACAATACAAGCACAAGGTAGTAGTTGCAATATACAGTTATATCACAGTGGAAGTGTGATTCCCATTACTGGACTGTGTGTGCTTACCGTCACGTGACTGAAAGCGAATCAGATAATTATAGTTTTATATTAAGCAATACTGAATTCCTTGAAGGAGCACTTGTATTTCAGGCTAAATGTAGCATTTGCACTAGAATGTTGTGTGAGATATTTATTTTTTGTAGCAGTAGCAGTGGCCTCAACTTTAAAGATAATATTTGTTTCTGTGGGAGTAATTACTATATCTAAAGTGGAGTACTGTTATTCAGATGGAGATTAAACAACAGGAATAGATCAACTGAAGACTGTAAAGATTGTTCTTTGAGGGTTTGTCGGTGTGTCTATGTGTTATGCATGAGTGTGCAGTCTCTTGAACAGTGCTGTCAATTGAGGTGCAAATGTAAATTGAATTTCCTTGTCATGGTTAGCAGGTTCAACTCCTGTATTTTTCTTTTATTCTCTCTGACATCAAGATGTGTTCTGTACTATAGTTGAGTTGAAGTTTCTGTATGAAAGAATATTGAGAATGTATTACTCGCTTTTATCTTGATTAACTCTTAATTTGGAATGTAAGTTTCATGCTGAAAAGCTGAAAAAAGCAAATGGCACATCAGAGTTCACACAAGAGAATTCTGTTGCACATCTCTGCAGAGTCCTGTTCATGTACTTACTGTCAGTGAACTGTGAGGAAGTGTCAGGAACTTGATCTGGGTTACAGCAGACGTGGAAGTCAAGATAGATTCCCTAGCTCCATTTCATGTGCTGTGTGAAGAAAATGCTCTTCATAGATGTATATTATGTTTCATATCACTGCATTGACTGACCTGAATCTTTCGAATTGCCTGTCTTAGGCCATTGGTAGCTGCTCTTAGAGCAAGGTCAGGTTATCACAATGAAGATTTGACTGAATAATGACATATCGTAGAGAGTTTTTGGTTAGCAGCGTTGCATAAGTGACTATTCATCTAAACTTGCTCTACCAGCACTGAGAAAGCATTCTCAGGCTCTTTCAGAAAAATGTGGATATGTGAAACATTGTGTTCATAGAGCTTCTTGAAACATTACATACTGATCTTATAAAATAGATGTTTGATTTTTGGGGAGGCAGTGTATGAGTTTCTTTTACTGTGGGAATAGATGCTTCCTCTACAGTTTTTGCAGGTTTTGAGTACTTGGATTTGGCAGTGATGCACAATTCAACTAGAAAGTATGCCTGCTTATGACAGTGGAGTTTCTGAATCTTTCAGTCAGTATGGACACCACAAACAGTTCTCTGTTCTTAGTCTGAGAATCCTCAGTTAAGGTGGATTTTGAGTGGAGCCAACTGGATGGTGCAGTTGCCTTGTGTCCTTCTAACAGACACATCTGATCAAAGAAACACTGAGCTCACCTGAGGCACCTGAATGTCTGCCCTGAAACCTCATGCATCAATGGGAGTTGGGAAAGTAAATTTGTTTTAGGCTAAGTCACTGATTGCTCTTCAGCTAAGTAGTAAGTAGTGAAAGGAGTCAGTAAAGACAATAAGAGGAAGTGAGAAGTACTGGATAAACAGAAAAAAAGTAGTCTAAAAACTCCCCAAGTTTTCCAAGGTTTTTTTGGACATAAATAAGACTTTAGTATTATCAAATGGACAAGTGAAGAAAGGCTATGAACTATGCTAAGGCAGCAAGCAGTGTTTCTCACATCAAGTGATGTGGTTTTTTTTTTTGTTTATTTTTATTGCATGTTGTGGATAACCAGATTCTCAGTTTGTATTCATTGTGCATAACTTCTCTGACTACATGGAAACCAGGAAACTCCACCTATACTGCCAGAGGAGCTAATCTGGAAATTCTTACTTGCGCTGATATTTGTGCACTTTGGAAAAAAGCACACAAAGTGCAACTGCCCAGGTTCTACTGATGTAGAATATTTGTAGAGAAGATTCCGTATTCTACCTGGTGAGGAAGTTGTTTAAGGCAGCATTGTTGTCATATTCTGTCATGGGAGTCATGTACTCTGTAACTATTTTTTTTTTAAATTTCAATTTCTTTGACATTTGATTATTTCAGTGGATGGGTTGGTGAATGTCGATTATAAGGAGATAAATTAATATTTCTGAAGCCCTTGAAAGGTGATGTCTTATGCTCAAGGGTGCTTAGGAAATTCCTGAGGAGAACTGAAATTCACTAGCCATACACAGTAGTGATAACAGAGGATCAAACAAAACTTGATCCTTAAGAACATCTATTCTGTCTACTCTTAATTTTATATCCCATTAGTGTAACATTCCTTTAAAAACTACTGGGTTAGGCAGTCTCCCTCTGAAATGAGGAGGGATATTTTTCCTTTCCAGTCATACCTCAGAGGAGGTAGAAGGCAGAATTAGAGATGATAGAGATGGGGGCAAATGAGTGTTTGCTTCTAGTCAATAGCTAACTGGAATAGTTGTTCTAATCATAAAGTAAAGGAGAAAATAAATTTACTAAGATACTGTTAAATTTTTTTGAGATTGTGAAAGATGCAGTCTGGTACATGTGTGTATGACAATTTGTCCCTGGCTTCATTTGGAATGAGGTTTGAAAATAAGTGCAGAACTCTTGAAAGCAACAAAATACTGCTAAAGGCCAGCTGTCTCCTGCATTCTCTTCAACTTCTTGGTTGGGGAAGGATTTGTAAAGATCCCACACCAGGGAACTGAAATTATGGGGTTTATATGCAATTAAGATATAAATATTGTTCTCGTCAAAAGCAGAACCAATATAATGATGAATTCAGCAATCTGCTGTAGGCAGTGGAAAGCCAGAACACTGTCTGAGGGAACTAGAGTTATCATCCTAGAATAGGTTCCAGGACTGGAAATTGGAGAATAGGTTTTTGAATAAAGGAGAGCATAAGAGGCTGAGGTTCAAGGTGGAGGCTTCAACTCTCATGGGGGAATTATTCAGCAGTGATAAGGATGTCAGTTTCAAAGAAGTGGATCATAGATATGGAAGATGTTACAAACCTACACAACAAATTTTGTGTGCCTCTTTATTTTCTTCATAAAGCACAATCAAGCTCTGCAAGTTCACAAGTATAATGAAAGTATTTAAAATAATGGCAGTATAAGCTCCTGAAAGAAAACAATGTGAAAGGAAGAATGAAAAAAAAGTCAGTAAAGCAAAATCATGAGACTGTTCTGTAAGGGAAAATTTAAATAGATAGAAATGGAACTAGAGGAATAGATTTCAGAGCTTTTTGTTTTACAGTTCTTTAGAATTGCAAGCAATAGAAAAAATATGATTGGACAGAATATTTTTAACTAAAAGGTTTGTTAAGCTTTTCACTTGAAAAACAAGTAATTAAAAAGACTATAAAAGTAATGCTGGCATTTTACAGGTTCATCTTTTCCTTCTGTTCAGCTATTTCTTCACTGGTGTTCTTTTGAAGCTAAGTTATTCACCACAGAGCTCTGATGCTGAATATTGACAGCTTTTTTTTCAGCTAGAAAAATCCTTCTACCTGAATTATTGGCAAATATTTATTGAATTGATAGTAGTTCTCTACAGAAACTATAGAAATGGATTAAAATTCACATACAGAATATTAGTTTATTTTTACTACGTTTGGCTTGCTTGTAGACAAATAGTTTAGTCAATATTTTACTCAACAATGATAAAATATTGTCAGCTTTATGGTGGTTCTGTAGCAGTGTGTGACAATTTTTCATAGGAGACCCATAAAGCTGCTGCCTTTTCATAAAATGAAGGTGGCAGTCACGAGCTGAAGGAATGTGATGAGTCAGCCTAATGTACTTCATTAAATATTACTCTTTTGTTGGCCTTTTCTTCTTCTAAACTAAACAGTTTTTCTTAAATACATCATTAGAAGGGGACTATATGCTATAGACTTTTTTTTTTAATGTGAAAGTTTTATTCAAAACTTTTCACATTTGCCTTTCCACATTCAAGTTATGATTATTCTAATTGACACCTACATGTCTTCTCATTGATTGTGATTTAATAGACACTGTCCTGCCTGTTAAATGCATATCCTGCTAATTCTTTTGAGATTGTAATTGTTCCCCAGTACTCCCTGGCTATTAAGTTTGCCTCTTTTTCCCCTTTGGTAAGTATTAGTCTCCATAACGAGGTGTGAGGTGGCATTCTGTGCGAATAGAGTGATTTGTGTGGTGCTGCTTGGGCAGGAATGCAACATGTTCCATCCATAAGGAATTTAAGACGGAGTGCATGGAGTGATAGGGGATAGAGATTGGAGGGATTAAGGAGTAGGAGAGTGAGACGTAATGTTGTGGATATGAATACAAATTGTAAACACTAGAGGTAGTGGTATGCTTTCTTATGCTGTATGTGGAGCAGTCAGCTCATGACAGAGGTGTCAAAGCAGTTAATTGTGCTCTTGTCCTGGCACAACATTCTTTTAGACTTCTGCACCTGTATTGCCACACAGACTTCCTATAACACTGTTTGATCTTTGTTAGCGCACGTGACAGACTCGTTGTTTATCTTCATTCCATGACTACAATATAACCTGTTGTTTGTTTTCTTTAAGAACTACCTGAGACTACCTTAATTGAAGAGAAAGTTCAAGAGACAGAGGCATGGGCCAGGCCTCTGGTCTACCTTTGGCAGACAAGAGAACCCAATTTCAGTGCTGAAAAAGAATACAATGCAGCTTGTGCAAAAAAGGAACCTCACTGTGCCATTTGTACTCTTCTCATGCCATACTATAAGGTAAGCAAGATTGTTGCAGCTCCATCTCTGGATGAAGCGTGAAATAACTGGCTGGCTACTTAATTTCCAGTAAATTATAAAGCTTATGCATTTCATTTGTAAGAGAGGTAAATAAACTCAAAATTGTTAAAATTAGAACTGGTAGTCTGTTCCACTGCATCTCCCCTTGGTTGCAGACAGTGTATGCCTTTACTACCATTTATGCAAGATTGGTGTTACTGTGTGTGTGCTTGCCGTTGAAATTTCAGTTTCTGAGGTGATGAACTCTAATAGGTTTGCATCTTTTAGCTATTTCCTTAAATACCCATCTTCAAATACTTTTTATGAGAACCTCTTTTATGTTGCCTTCCTTCAGTGTTGACGAAGTGTTTTCACAGTACTTAGGCCTTCTTGGGAAAAGTATTACCACAGAAACAGTCTAATGCAGAGCACTGTTTGATACTGCCTTGTGGAATTTATGTGTCAAATGTCAACTAAAAATGCTGTTGTAGTACTATATTACTGATTCTGAAGCTGCTAAGCTGGAATTTCCTCAGCATGGGAACCAGGAAAAAAACATTGCACTGGACTGAGTTCAAGGGCTCAAGAGATACAGTATCATCGAACACCACTGCAATAACAGTAGTTTGCAGTCTGAATTCTATTCTAAAGTTCTCAGTTATTTTGAGCAATCAAGATAGAATGGCTGTGATAAATACCTAGAAGTAGGTAATTTCCTCATGAAACCGTTATACTGTTGATGCAAAAGTTGGGAGGGGAGGATCAGTTTCATCATAATCAAAAGGAAGAGTAAAACTCTCCTTTCTTTTACTTAAATATAAATTTTGTTTATTTTCCAGCCAGACAATCATGATGAAGAAGGTCCTACTTTCAGGGAAGCAAACTCAGCAGGAACACTGATGGCAGAAAATGAAAAGACTAAACCTCTTATTCCAGAGATGTGTTTTATTTATAGTGAAGAAAACACTGAAAACTATCCATCAAATGCCTTTATTGAAGAAGATGGAACAAGTCTTCTGATTTCCTGTGCAAAGTGTTGCGTACGGGTTCATGCAAGTAAATAATCTAATGGTTCTGTTGGCAGAAATGTAGTTTCAAATTTTCTTTTATAGATAAATAATAGTTATCTAGGCTTCTAGCATGGCTCTAAAAGTACTTGGCAAACATTTCCATTTGTAATGCTTCGATCACTGTCCAATTTTTTTTTGAAAAGTACATTAGATTTTCTATTACTTTTTAATGGTTGCTGTGAAAATATTGAAGAATTAACTTTCCTGGAAACTTTCAATAATCACAAACTTCTGATTCTTGTTTCTATTCTGAGCAACTAAATTACTCTTTTACTTCTCATATTTTAAACCACTGTGTGATGTTACTATGCCCTTACTAAGTAGTCAGGGTAAAATTCTGCTGGAGAACTTGAGAATATTCCTATTAACTTTATGTAGTAATTTCCTTCACCTTACATTCTTTTTTATTGCAAGAGTTACTGATAAATGCATGGACTTACTGCAGTAAGTTCTAAAGGCAGTAGAAATTGAATAGGTAACGCTAAAGTCCATATGATATTCAGAAATGTGGTATAATTGCATAGGTATCAATATATTAAGTAAAATTTTTACTGCAGGGAGAATTCAGGATTTGCTATTGTACTGACAGAATTAAGAAATACCCTGTGATCTGGGGTTTTGGGTGTTTGGGATTTTGTTGTTGTTTGTTTTGGTTTTTAGTTTGGCTTTGACTTTGTGGGATTTTTTTGTTGAGTGAGGATTTTTGTGGGTTTTTTGTTTTGTTTTGTTCTGTTTTTGTTTTGGGCTTGGGTTTTTTGGGGGGTTTTTTTGAGTTTTGGGAAGATATGTTTCACAGACTATGGAATTAGCAGACAACCTGGATTGGAAAAACATCTCCTTTGTCACAGGACATGTGCTCTACTATTGTTTATATACAGGTGAAGTGTATGATGTTATTAATAGAAAGAATATAATAATCAATACAGCTCTCTTGTTCTAGGTTGCTATGGTGTTCCTTCTCAAGAAATCCATAATGAATGGTTGTGTTCGCGATGCAGAAAAGAGGCCTGGACAGCTGTAAGTTTCACGTGTTGCTTAGCTATCTAAAAATTACAGATTAAGGGGAGGGGAAAAAAGTAGCACATGCATTATTTCATGTGGAATGCAGCCGGCATATTTTTTCTGAACACTCTTGCTAGAGAAAAATTATTTGTAAAATATGATGAGATTTCAATGTAAAATGTAATGGCATTTTGATAGACAAAATTGGAATAGTTTTATAGACTCATGAAAAAGATTGACTGACAGAATATAGTTGTGTGAAAAATGTTGTTCAAGGAAAGAACTGAAAATTAAGATGCTCATAAGAGAGAAAAAAATGAGCTTTCTCCTAAATAGGTATAATCCAATTTTCATCTTTCATTGTTTACCTGAGTACCTTCCTACAGCTTCTTTATCAGACAGTCTTGAGTTTCAGGATCTCCTAAAACATATTTGTGACTACTGTTCTAGAGTAAGGGGAAAGTTGATAGGAAAAACACAACTGTGTTCTAGCAAGTGACAGGTTGCTATGAGCTCAGAATTTTATTATCAATTAAACCAACAGGGTCAGAAAGCCCTGGTACTCTGAAAAAGTTTTGTTAATTTCTTTTCAGGGAAGATACAGCTATGATTTGCAAGCATGGGAATTCTAAGGAGAACCATTCTTATTCATGAAATACCATGCATGACAGCAGTAGGACTGAATACCATGTTTGTGTTAAAAAACACTGAAAAATTTAGTATGTTGCCTTGGAACCTGATGTTAACTTAATATATAACGTAAATGCATTTGAGGGGAAATTTGGAGAGACTCTTTGTCTTTTGAGTATAGTATATTTTTCTAAAAGCAAAAGTCACTAAAAAAAAAGTAAACCAAAATTCAGTCTTATAATTTGTTAATACTGTGTTGTAGAAAGGATTCTAAAATTATTCTGGAGTCTAAGAATATTTTACAAATATTCTTGAAGTGAAGAGGACATTTAGCATTGGTAAGTGAAAGATAAGAACAATAGTGAGGTGACTGACTTGACTCAGATTCACTATGGGTCAATAGTAGAGGAACTTGATAATATGATAGAAAAAAAAATGTTGGGGAGAATATCAAAGCTTGACTTGGCAAACTTTTTTGAGGAAAATTAACACCCATGGAAAACATAATTTGAGAAGAATTTTTCATGTTTTACTGAATATACTTAGTTTTGTTCTATTATGATGCATACAAGTTTCTGAAAATAAGACAGATCTGAATTTTAGGGAAAGTAATTTTAGCCAAATTATTTGAGGAGATGAGATGAAGCAGTAAAGAGATATCAAAACCATACAGAAAATAGCTGAGTGGAAATTTTATGTGATGAGGTTTTAGAATTGGATTTTTACAAAAGCACACTCTAGGAACTGGAGAGAAGGCCCAGTGTATTCCTATAATTTTATATCTTGGGTAACAAGAAGGTAATAGGAGTGAAACGGTGCACCATTCTCACCGCGCAAAGACTAGACAGTGTATGTTGGCAGTTTGGACAATTTATTTTATATAAGCTTTGCCTATTATATATTCAACTGTATTGCTGTGATTTTATGTGTGTATTGATTACTGTACAGCTGAATCATTAGTGCCAACAACTTCATCTTTCTGTAATTCTGTTTTGGTAACATGAGTGAAATGAACTTGTAAAGTAAGAGAGCTCTTTGTACAGACATGTTTGTGTAAAAAAGTTCCGTTCTTAATGCCTTAAATAATTTTTAAGTTGGAAAGTTTTAATGAAATATCTGAGATTGAATATACCTCATTAGTATTACATTTACTTACAAAGTTGTCCTTCAATCTGCTGTCTTGTAGTCTTCATTATTACATACCATTCACATGTAAATGTGAACTGTTCATTTTCACCTGAAAGATGTAGGAGAGATAGATAGTAGGTATGTGTTACCTGAGTTAAATAGCAGAAATCCAGCTGTTTAAAGGATGTGAATAATGCTTTGTTATATACTCACACATGAATGATACACAATTCACTTTTTCTTTTTTAATAATAGTGTCTTTCAGAAGTCTTGAGATGCTGAAGCAATCTCAGAGCTATGTAGTGATTACTAGAGTTTGCAGAGCTTAGCTGAGGTGACATCAGCTTTTTAAAAAGGCAAGAAATGGATGACCCGAGGAAGTAGGTGGCAGTCAACCCATCAGGGATACCAGGAAAAATACTGATAGATCTATCAATTTCTAAAAACCTAGACAATAACAGAATACAAAGAGATATGTATTTAAGACAGATGGTGGGAATAAGGAATAAGCAAAAGATTTCATACATCCTAACTTCAGATGCTTTTGATAGGGATTTAAATTCTGATATAGCAGTAACAGAAAACTACATTGAAAATTAATAGTTGCCAAACATATAGCAATATGGATTTGCTTTCAACCCTTAATATCTCAGGCCACCAACCATCATTCTCATCAGACTCTTAAAACTGAGAGCATTGTTTGCTGATTACTTTTCATACCCTTAAGATATGTAGAAATCTAGACTGGTCTACTTTAAGCTGTTTAAGATGATTGCACAGGAGCTGAAGGAGTATGCTTCTTGTGAAGCTGCCAAAGTGTTAAACTGTATTGAAGAAATGGTGTAAAATAAATCATATGGATTTCAACAGAGATAGATACAGTACGATCGTTGGTTATGCACACATAAGATGGGAATCTGTACCTAAGCAGTAGCTCTGGTTGCCAACTGCAGTTCTGACCACTCTGGTCACAAACTGAATGTAAATCATTAGTTCTGTAGAACCTGAAACATCACATGAGGATGTTTAAGACTTGTAATAGAAGCAAAGTCTGAAAAAAACTACCATGGAACAATCTTTCTGCTCTCTTCAGTTTTAGAGAGAGCGCAGCTGAAGAACTGCATCTCATAGTGAACATACAGGGCTGAAAAAACCATGTGCTTGAATAGGATGGAAGGAAACAAGAGTTGCAACTGAAAATAAACCAAAATTCTTTTAATCATTCCTAATAGATCTCAATCATGCCATAAGGGAGAGTTGAAAAGATTTAACCTTCTTAGTATAGCCAGGGGAAAGCAGAAAGGAAAAAAGTTGCATTCAGTCATGTAAAATTATATGTGTATGACTAAGAGTAATACAATCAATTCCCATTCTCTCATTATAGGGATATGATGACTTGTAGAGGCTTTAAGTTGCATCAGCAGAAGTTAATATCAGGACATTTTATGAATTTTTATTTGTAAAACTAGCATACCATAAGAATAGTATATATATAGATTTTACAGAAGGTACTCCTTCACAATTTTTAAAAACATGTTAGATAAACATTTTTTCAGGAATAGTTGAAGAAGACTTGATTGTACCCTGAGGCAGAAGGATAAAATATATAGTGAACCTTTTTTTCTGTAGTTCTTGTTTGCTTGTTTGAACAGTATTATTCATTGCAAAGCATTGTGATTGTAGTTATCTTTGGAAAAAAAATTATTAGTTTGATATGCAACTTAAATATATTAATATATTTTTGCTTGTATGGAACCTTATTCCTGACATCAGTGTGATAAGAATTGCTGATACTTATTTGGTCTTATTTATCATTTTAGGATAATACTTCTGTCCCTTCAGAGTTTGGACAATAAGCCTAGATTATCCTAACAGCTTTCACTTCAAAATACTACAATACTTTTATGCAATCTTGGCATTATACTTAAGGTAGTGTGGTTCTCTTTTAACCAATCTTTTGTATATATGTTAAAAAAGATGACTGAATTAAGTACTATTTTCCCTTTTGAAAATCTGCCATTTATATTAGTTTTACCAACCTGAAGCTTTACATTTTGTGCTTCGAGTTAAATGCATATGTTTCTTTTCTGAGTCAATTTTTAAATTTTTATGATTTTTTTCATATAATCATAGAATACCAGGTTGGAAGGGGACCTCAAGAATTGTCTGATCCAATCCTTTTTGGCAAAAGCACAGTCTAGACAAGGTGGCCCAACACCCTGTCCAACTGAATTTTAAGTGTCCAGTGTAGGGAACTCACCACTTCCCTGTGGAGGTTACTCCAATGGCTGGTAGTTCTCAGTGTGAAATTTTTTCCTTTTGTGTCTAATCAGATTGTCTCCAGGAGTTACTTGTACCCATTACCTATCATCTTTTCCATGTGACTCCTTGTAAGAAATGTAGTCTTCATGTTCTTTGTAGCCACCCTTTAAATACTGGCACCTCATGATAATGTCTCCAAAGCCTTCTTTTCTCATGGCTGAACAAACTCAGTTTTCTCAGCTTTTCCTCATATGACAGGCTTCCCCGTCCTTTGATCATCTTTATGGCCCTTCTCTGGACCTCTCCAGCATGACCACACCTTTTTTGTACAGTGTGGACCAAAACTGAACGCAGAATGAGTTTTCTATATCTCTTGTTATACATATGTTATTTTAATTGTATTTTAAATTGCTGTGTAGTACCATAAGTCTCTCTTGAGAGGGAGGTGAAATTAAAGAAAATTACTTATTTGCATGCCTTTTTTTTTTATATGAAACAAATAAAAAAAATCATATTTCTCTAAATATTTGTTCAGGATAAGCATAGCTAAAAAACTGCAGCTGTTGCAGAAGATCTGAAACAGATTTGACTCTGACTCCCTGTGGGAATTATATGTATACATGCCTTCCAAAATTCAATTTTTGTATCAGGAAAGAGAACAAAATTAGATTTAATTAGGAGGAAATACTTATTCCCTGAAACTTCAACTTCCTGGATGCCTGAAATTGTTTTCCCTCCTCTTTACATTGATTCCTAGAAGGAGGAGATTTAGCAGAAGTCGACCTGTCTGAGAAATTCCCTTCTGGGTAAGACATTAAATCCTGAAGGGAATGTTGATTAGAAAACAAGGAAAAAGAAAAGTTCTGTGCAATGAAGAATATAATGGAAGTTACGAAACATTGGTGCAACCTTGTTTCCAGGTTCACAGTTAATTTCTTAGGAGGAAAAATTTATTCTCATTCCTTTGCTTACACAATTAAATATTGTTTTAATAT